AGAGATAGAAGCATCATTTGACTCATCGAGTGATACACTCAATCATACCGATCAACATACGGCTAAACAATAGAATCAATTCGAGGAGACAATGTTAAGGCTGCAAGGGTAACCAACAAGGTAAGGTAATCAACAACAATCATCAAAAGGTCACATATAAAGATATGCTCATAAGCATAAAGATACAAGAATCACAATCAAAGGATACGATGATCACAATCATAATCAAGTTCCAACCTTTACACCGCTCCATCCTTATAACAGTTTCAACCTGTACCTCCGAGACCACCCTGTACAACCAGTCCAACCTTATTCCTCCGGAGATTTTTCTCCCCACTTTCTTGCCTCCATCTTGCCGCCGATCTCATAAATATAATCATATATCATTATCACGTGATAGTATACAACCAATCATTTTGAGCAAAGATCATTACCACCAATCTCATAACAATCATAACACACAGTCATCATCATAGATAATCGAGGCTCAACAATAGCCCAATCAAGGAATAAACGAGATAAGTACAACCATTGTACAAGCTCACAATGATAGGTTAAATCGAAGGAATTCAAGAAAGAACACGAAGGAAACATTCCAAGGTATTGCCACAATAACGAAAGACTTCCAAATAGGCAAGATCAATACAAGGAAAACACATACTAGTACCAACGAACAACGTAGCTAGCATGCAATTCAACAAGATAACCATAAAGGCTCATACGAATGGCATAGACTTCACATCAATCCAACGAATCACAAAGTTGGATCACCATTACGATTCAAGACTCACAAGTCCTACCACGGGTACTTAAGATATCATTCTAGACTTACAGAACATCAATCAAGACACACAAGTGCACAACGGGTCAACAAAACGGAGGCCAAAAACTAACGTACCAGTGGACGGTTCATTGGGTGTCAAACCACCCGCCCCACTCCCCACCACTGTACCAGCGGGTGGTCAACCACCCGTGGACCCCCCCACCCCCGCACCCCGCCACCAACACCACTTGGTTCCAGCGGGTGGCACACCGCCCGCCAATGTACCCGCTGGTACCGAAAACAGAGGGGAAATTCCACTTCGGGGAAAATTGTCAAAATGTTCAAGTTCAAGTCCAAAACACCTCAAAAGTCATATCAATCAGCAAAGGAACTTGAACACATAGAATAGCTCAATGAATAGCATTAAAGAACCCTTAATACAAGCTCTCACAAGGCATTTACACAAGGAAATGCATAGAATCACTCAATAGCATCAAGAAATCATAAATAGCAAGTGTAAATAGATTTTGTAAGACATGGGTTACCTTTGTAGCCTAAACAACACTTCCTCAAACTCCTAAGATCCTCCTTGAAGGTCCTCTTCCAAAAGATCTTTCAAACACAAACCAAAAACCTAACAAATACAATAATTCTTTGATAAAGGATGTGGAAAACTAAGTAATAAAACCAATAAAGCCTATAACTTACCCTTCCTAAGGTTTTAGATGAGGACATGTGGAAACTTGGTGGTCTTCAAGGTAGAGAAGATGATGGATTTCTTTGGTTAGGTTGGGAGGGTTTAGGGTAGCTTGGAGAGAAAGCTAGAGTGTAGAAAGAGAGGTGTTTCCTGTCTAAGTGAGGAAGACTAGGATGGGAGTCTAGGGAAATATCTTGGGTTCCAAGTTAGGATTGTGAAAAGACCAAAAAGACCTCTTCCTTCTACAAGCAAGTTAGGAGAGAATTAAAGGCTAGAGTACAAGTAATAAAGCACCAAGTCTTCGGATTGACTAAGTTAAAAAGGCTAAGGGATTTAGTCAATTTAGGTCCCTCGACTATGCTCAACGGGAAATTAAGAAGTAATTGCAAAGCCATTAGGATTTAATTAAGTAATTAAATTCGGTTTTAATGAATTAATTTCCGGGGTGTCACACAAATCACACCATTAATTAATATTTATAAGTCATTAAGAAATTACGTGTGTTGAAAAGAAAAGCCATAATTAAGTTGTGTTGAATAAAACCTTAATATAGGATTCAAACCTTGTCTATTCTTAAGGCTAATCACATGCTTTGCCACCTAATCTAACCATCTCTTATTAATTTTTATCTATTTGTTTATACTTATACTAAAATCTGTACTATATATACATACATACATATATATATATATATATATATATATATATATATATATATATATATATATATATATATATATATATATATATATAAGGGTTATATATGGGGTGGGAGTGGGGGTGGGGTGAGTGGGGGCAGCTGCCCCACTGCCCCATGCTAAATCCGCCACTGCGTAGGAGTATTTTTTACCAAAATATTATATAGTACAATTCTTATAGCATAATGCACTAAAAGAGTAACGGAAAAAATAGATATAAATGACGGGTATAATTTTCATTCACACTTATTAATTTTTATATTATATACATATTTATTTTGGTAGTCAATTGTTATAACTGTGTCTAAAAGGATCTTTAATTATTTGTTTTATTTGATCAATTAGGTATAATATAATTCTTATTTTTGAGTAGAAATGAAATTTTTTTGGAACATTTTGGATTAATTTAGAGTCAGAGCCAACTATAAGGCAAGGAGATGGATGCAATACTCTTTAGAGAGTTAAAAAGCGGTGTATTCAATGGTACGACTTGATTATATGAGCAAACCAAAGCAAAAGTGGAACAAAAAATCCATAAAGTTGCATTGCTTTTTAACTCAACATTACCATAGTACTGTTCAGTATTTTGATCATAACTCAATGTAAGAAATAAGAATGTCCATTGAAAATACAATTCAAATGGTTGTAACTTTTATAAAGACCATCAAGCATAACTCTCACATTAATATGGTAAGGAAAGAGATTCTGATAAGAAGGAAGGAATAACGGACGGACGTCCATTACTACTCTATTTCTTGAAGATAATTTGCATTTTGTCATAAGATGGATGAACTGATGGACCACCATCTCTCAAGTTGATGTTGGGTACACTGCTCACCATATAAGCGCGTTATAAGTCATTTTCTACTCCGACCCCTAGTTTTTTCATGCCTTTCTTTACACATTTTTAGGCACTAATACAAAACAACTCATTCGCATCTGTTGTAGAAATGAAAAGGCATATGTTTTACAACAAATGCCTATGAACAAGACATTGAAAGTCTAACCTTTAGGCATCTGTTTTTTACAAATGTCTTTTATGACAATAGGCATCTGTTCCTCACAAACGCCTAGGTTAGGGTAGGGTTAGATTTAGTTACTTAAACTTATTTTGAGCTTGTATTCAATGATTCGACACTTGGATTTGAAGATTTTCTTTCATTTTTAACATAACTAGTATTGTCACGTGCGATGCACGGACTAAATATTAAAGATTTGTTTGTAATGTTAGAATAGGTAAAAAAATGTTTTTAATAATGGTATTTGAACTACAGAAGAAGAAAACATGAACAACAATTTAATTGTTTAAAATTACATTTTTATTAAGTATATGACAAAATAATTATGATATTGTATTTACAATATTTAATTTAATAATTGAAAATAGTATGATACAAAAAGTTACTATTATTAATCACAGCTAGCGGTATACATATTTGATCTTGAGTATGTCTAATCCTTGCTACCCATGCGATGCACGGAATGAATATTGGACAACATTATAATAATATTATTTATTAAAAAATACATAACCTAATATCAACATAGTTGCAATTCATATTCGTATTCATATATATATATATATATATATATATATATATATATATATATATATATATATATATATATATATATATATATATTACAATATTATTATTATTATTATTATTACAAAAATAATAATAATAATAATAATATTGTAATATATATATATATATATATATATATATATATATATATATATATATATATACACACACACACCATATGGTCTTGTGAAAATTAAATAATATCAACATTTAATTTTCACAAGACCATATGGCTTTATTATAATTATTAAGATTAAGATAGGTAAGTCTATTTCTCTTATTTCTTCCATTTGTAATATTTATGCTTATTACTTGTGTTTTTATGATTTTTATGCTTAATATATGCATGTATGAGTAATTAGTTTATGGCATGGACTTGGACTAGGATTGTATTATTTAGGCACAAGTGTCAAATAGACCCATCTACTACTGCGAAGTGCTCAATTCTCACCACGAACTAAATTAAGTGTCAAATAGGGCCATCTATCAGCTAAATTTGTTCAATTGTCATTTTTTACAGGTTGCCTATTTAATTATTAAAAATAAATCAATAAATAGAATAAAAAAATTTTAAAAAAAAAATTAAAAAAAAAAAAAAAAGAATAAGAAAAAGAATATCAGCCACCGGCTTTCCGGTGAGGACAGCCGGTGGCTGCCCTTTCGCAAACAGTCGGTGGCTGATATTCTTTTTAAAAAAAAAAAAATTATTCTATTTATTTATTTATTTTTAATAATTAGATAGGCAACATGCTAGCAACCTGTAAAAAATGTCAATCGAACAAATTTAGCTGGTAGATGGATCTATTTGACACTTAATTTAGTTCGTGGTGGAAATTGAGCACTTCGCAATAGTAGATGGATCTATTTGACACTTGTGCATATTATTTATCTTGAGGCTCTATTCGTGTTTTATTGCATAAATGGTAGAAATTCAGTCTAGTTATCTCGAGTTTATGAAGGATTACTGTTTGTATTTTATTAATTGACATAACATAGAGTGCACGTGTGCAACATCACTATCTCGGAATTGAGCGTTATATATATATATATATATACATACATACATATATATATATATATATATATATATATATATATATATATATATATATATATATATATATATATAGAGGGTATATGCAATATCAAAGAACTAGGCACTAGTAATTAAATGAAAATAAACAATAACATAAGTGTTATAATTTTGGCCAACTTTAGCTTAATCTACCGCGACGATTCAATAGTAATCTTATGCCAAGAACATAGTCGAGAGAAGAAAGAAGAGTAAAAATAAAGGAAAACTAGAAGAAAATGGAGGTACATGATGACCAAAAAAAAAAAGAATTTAAAGGTAATTAAGCAATATGAGGTGTGGCAATCAAGCAAAGATCGGTTTTTCTTCCCACAGATAATCCTGGTTTCTCCGTCATGTCAAAAGAATCAACAGTAACTCCATTAGGGAGCTTCCAATCAAAGTGGAAGAGCAAGTGACCTAAAGGAGAAATGGAGTTTGCAAAACCAAATGCAAGTCCTGGACAAATCCTCCTCCCTGCACCAAAAGGCAAATACTGGAAGTGATTTCCAGTAAAATCAATTGAACTCTCCTCAAATCTCTCGGGTATAAAGCTCTCTGGATCTTCCCAATACTTGGAATCCCTCCCTATTGCCCAAGCATTAATAATTACTTTTGTTTCCAGGGGAATGGTGTAGCCATTGACAATGCTTTCCTCCCTGCACTCCCTTGGAGAAAACACAGGAAATGGGGGGTGACACCTTAATGTTTCTTTGACAACTTGCTTCAAATATGGTAGTTGTTCAATAATGTCTTTCTCGTCCAACGTTTCTTTCCCTTTAAACACTTCTCTCACCTCTGTTTGTGCTTTTTCCATCACCCTCGGATTCTTCATCATTTCCGACATAGCCCACACAGTTGTTGCTGTTGATGTCTCACTCCCTCCTGCAAACATATCCTGCATAAAACAATCAATTTAATTAGCATTGCTTTATTTGCATGTTATTATGATTATTTCCTGAGTTAATACCCATTTTTGTTCTCACTATATTTGATGGATATATTATACCCACGACCCGACCCGGGGTAGCAACATGGACCCGGAGCACCTTGGTGGAGCCTAAGAGCAGCACGGACCCGGGGGACCACGGAGGTGCCCAAGAGCAGCACGGATCCGGGGGACCACGGAGGTGCCCAAGAGTAACACGGACCCGGGGGACCACGGAGGTGCCCAAGAGCAACGCGGACCCGGAGCACCATGGAGGTGCCCCGACCCGAGCTCGGCACCACCCGGGCTCGGGACCCGACCCGACCCGGTCCACCCGGGCCCGGTCAAACTTGAGATCTAACCACCCCCGATTTAAGGGGAGGCGGTTGGGGGGTTTGCTTGTATAAAAACCCCCCTCCATGTCCTAACAAAGGGCAATTCATTCCACATTATACGATTATTACACACTTTTGTCCTACCGAATCTTTGTAATAGCCGAATACTACGGCAATTAATATAATATACGGTCCACCGCGACCTTTACGATATCGTTCTATATTATTTGTTTATTATTCTTATTATATATTCTTATCCGGGTTTATTGATTCGGGTCCACCCCGGGTTAATTAAATCCATCAATATTCTTGATTTAGTTCTAAATATCTTCTTTTTTTTTTTTAGGTTAATTGGGTTCTGGACATGCTGATTTTACTTAATTGATCGAGTCATATGTTATGCCTTCCATTTATTAGCTGTTAAAATAATGATAGATTGGTAATTTCATCTCTATTAATATCCAATTTAGTTATCCACTATAGTGATTTTACCTAATTTAGTATAGTGATTTTTTCTCAACATAATCTTTAATTATAACCGCCAATAGACGGAAGGCTTAATAAATGACTAAATTAAGGGTGTGTTTGGAAATCTGAAAAATGATTTCAGGAGAATGTTTTCGGAAAATGAGTCATTTTCTAGAAAATATTTTCCTTTTCAAATTTTGGTTGCATTTCCAAAAACTGTCTTGTTTAGATCATTTTGTATAAAATGAGCAAAATTGTATTAAAAATTAATATTATTTATAAAAAATAATAAAAAGAGCAATAATTGTTTCATTTAAAAAAAAAAAAAATGGGTACGGTTTCGTCTTCGGAAAACAGAAAAACTTATGGTTTCCAACGGAAACTAGTAAATGGTTTTCGTTGGGAAACCCCAGTTAATCTGGTTTCTGTCGGGAACCAGAAATTTCTTGTTCCTACGGAAACCAACGAAGAAGACGGAGAACAAGAAAAAAGTTCTTTGGATTTTTCAGAAAATGACTTCTCCGGATAAATGGGCTTGTTCTCCCTTTGACTGGAAATAAATTTTGGTTGCACACACACCCCCCCCCCCCCCCCCCCCCGCGCCGCCGCCAAACACTAGAAACCCGTATGAGAACTTAATTATTGAAAAATGATTTCCAAAAATCATTTTTCGAATTTCCAAACACCGTTTAAATAAAGTAATAGAAATTCTAGAGTCAATTAAATACAAAATAGACATTTAGGACTAAATTGACAACTAAATTAAGTATTAACTCGATTATTTCAGGATGGGAAATAAGGATATACTATATATATAATACGTACGATGATTATGGCTTTGATGTTGTCGTGACTGATGGGAACTCGAAGGTTACCGCTATCCATCTGTCTTATGAGGACATCAATTAAACAATCACTACTCCCTGATTCACTGCCATTTTTCAACTTCTCTCTGTGTTCTTTTATGATGTTTTCGATGATTGCGTCTACTTTGCGGTGAGCTTTGATGATCCTATTCTTGTTTCCGCCGAAGAGGCCGTGAAGAACCCTCCAGGATGGAAACACATCGGCAAAATCAAAGCTGCCCAACAATTCCGATATTTCTTTAAGTTGCTCCATGAACTCTTCTCTCCCGGTGAATACCTTGCCTGTTTAATTATAATAATTGTACAATGAATCATTTGTATTTAAACTAATATGTGTTGGGCAAAGGGCATAAAGGACTAAGCCTAGTAATGGGTTGTTCAACCGTTATACCATGGACTTGGATCCACCTTGCAATGTGAACTCTAATTCAAAATACATAATTTTCATACTGAATGTTCACAATTTGAATTCTGAACATTCAGTATATAAATTGTGTATTTTTGAACCTGGATATACCTTTTCACATAATAATTTGCCTTGGTGGTTAGGAGATTTTTGGGTTGAAACTGGTAAATAGTCAAATCTAATAATTAGTAACTAGAGAATTGTTGGGCTGAAGAATAAAGAGCCAAATCCAGCAATTACTGAAATTTTGGTCTTAAGTCCATAAAGTGCCAAGTATACCACCATGCCTCTTGAAAAATGTGGTGACGAAAATAAAATTGTGTCTTTGATGTGAGTTATAATTTTTGACACGCACTTGATTCAAACAAGTAATATCAGAGTCAGATCACCATATATACTTTTGACGTTATAATAAACGCTTAATCCTAAGTATACTTTTGCATGCATGATATCAGAGTCAGATTGGACGGGTTCAAGAATGCTCACACTAGCTAGACATGAAAGCCCTTAATTCTAACAATTGGTATCAAAACTAGGTCAAACCACGCTTTTGGCTGGGTGCAGTGGCGAACCCAGAAATTTTTGTTAGTGGGTGCCCCCCATGATAGGTCCGCCCCTGGCTGGGTGGTAAACTCTTAATATTTCTTCCCTAAAAGGTTAAATCCCCAACTCAACAGAGCATTTGGGTAGAATGTAAATCATGGTGATTCAATGGCTGAGCAGACATGGTCAATTGTCAGTGCTTAGGGATCTGCCCACTTTGGGCATAATCACCACATTATTGCTCCCAAAATTTGAACATTGGTCTCTTCTTTAAAATACGGACAACTAAACCATTAAGTTAACCCCGTGTATGGATGCATGCATGCAAGGAAAATGCTGACAGTAGAGCTAGTCATCTTACCGAATGCGGATCTACATATAATGGAGGCCATGAGTAAGAACATTCTCTCTGGGAATTTGACGAGCTGGCCATGGCCGGAAGTAGAACGGACGTAGGCCAATAGACTATGGATTTCGTCCTGCCTGATAGAGCTGAAGGATCGGACATTTTTGCCGTTGAGGAGCTCCATCACGCATATCTTCCGCATTTGTCTCCAGTAATCACCGTACGGACAGAACGCAATGTCGGAGCAATTGTAGAAGATTATTTTGTTGGTAACCAGCTCCGGCTTGGTCGCGAAAGCCAGGTCGTGAGTTTTTAGGAATTCTTTCGCCATTGCCGGCGACGACACGACCACAGCAGAAATTTCTCCGATTTGAAGGCCCATGATGCCCTGGGAGCTGCCGTATTTCTTCGCCAACTCTCCAAGAACGCGGTGGGTTGGCAATACCGAATCTGACAACTGGTGCAAGTTTCCGATGATCGGCAACTTCCACGGGCCCGGCGGCAATTTCCCGCCGGTTTTTGACTTTTTCTTCCATTGTACTTTTGCGTGAATTAGAATGATAAAAGAAAGAAAGAGAACGAAAGAGATGAAGTTGAATGCTACAGCCTCCATTAGTTATTATGATTCTATTGCTGGAGAAAGCTAAGGCTTAGATTTCCAATTTATAGGAGAAATTCTTACGTCATCCTGTAGACACAAGTTGTTCAGATTCATGTATTAAAGAGGAAAATGCCACAAATGAATCATATTATAGTATTAACTGTCCTAATTAATATTCCCATAAGGCATTAATTAAGAATATACAACCCAATAAAATTCTTAAGTTCATCAAATTTGAAAAACCAAATAATGATATTGACTACAAAATATGTTTTTACGTTAATTTTTTTTTAGAGAAAAGGGTCAAATAATAGGCCCCTAAACATTTTGCTAAATGTCAATTAACCCCACAAACTTTTGAAAAGGTCAATTGAACACATGAATACACAATTTTGAGTCACTTGACCCCATTAACCGGTAACTTTTACCTGATGAACCGGTAATTGACACCGTGGCGTGACACATAAGCGTTGAAGTGGGTACTTAGCTGCCACATAAGCATAAAAAAAGAATTAAATTAAAAAAAAAAAGAATTTAAAATCAGCCATGTACAATATAATCTGTTAAATTCTTTATGGCTGATTTTAAAATGTTTTTATTAATTTAATTCTTTTTTATGCTTATGTGGCAGCCAAGTACCCACTCCAACGCTTATGTGTCACGCCACGGTGTCAATTACCGGTTCATCAGGTAAAAGTTACCGGTTAATGGGGTCAAGTGACTCAAAATTGTATGTTCATGTGTTCAATTGACCTTTTCAAAAGTTTGTGGGGTTAATTGACATTTAGCGAAATGTTTAAGGGTTTATTTGACCCTTTTCTCTTTTTTTTTTATTGTATATTTTGCTTCAGAAGGTTTACAATATAATAAACTAACTATCAGGGTGATTGCGGTAGGATTCGAATGTCGGTACTATGTTTGTTGTTTTATAAATTAAATATAAGCAGTACAGTAGTTCGCTGCATGCACGAAGCAGCCCACAGGCTGCTTTAGTTTAATTTGTACTTAGTAGTTAGCAGCCCATTACGTAGGTTTATGGCTGCACAAAATTATTATAAACTAATATTGGGAGTATCGAACATGTTCTGATAACATATTATAAATTAAGATCGATTAGATTCAATTGTTTAGTGTGATTTGATTGATGTTATAAATTAAGATTGGCTTAATGTCACTTTTTTGGACAACGGACAATTCTGATACCATATTATAAATTAAGATTGAGCCAATATCGCTGGACTATAATGCACATTGATCAAATCACATTGAAAGGTTGAATATAATCAATTAATTAGTCTAACACATGACGTTAAGAAATATCGTGCGAATACGGTTTAAGTTTGGATTAACCTCATTATGCATAGAACACAATTATTTAATATTGAGTTTTGAAATTAAATTGGGTGAATTTTTTTATGAATATAGAAACAAATTTATAGAGTTTAATATATAATCAGATAAAATGAAAAATAATTCTAGTCATCAATATATATAATCCCAAAGCAGCCTCACTTTTTAGTGAAGCTGCACGTACTGTGCCCCAAATAAATCACCTCACCAATAAATCTGTGAAAACCTTCTAGTAGATGCTTCATCTCTAGAATCTCGTTGACCTTGACATCATTCAAACTTGGTTTTCCCCATATTTTTATATGACTAGTATTTTTCTTTTAAAAAAAAAAAAGGTTAAAACTTGGATTTCCATGCAAATATTAATAATATATGTCATTAAGATATTAGCAAAATAGCAATTGCCGCCTAGTGGATGTGGCATAATTTCAGTATAAGAATAATTGCGAGTTTGATTCTTGTTAATACTTTAGTCGTCGAGCTAGCTAACACTTTTTTGATTGAACTTGTTATAAGTTTTCGTAATATAATTTATCTTTCTTATGTGTATTAGTTTTATACGCGAATTGCACGTGTGACCGGGTTAATGTTCAATGTTTATATTTAAATAAGTATTTTAAAGTATATCAATGCAAGATTATATAGGATAAGTTAATACATAGGTAATTGAATGTTGAATTTGTTTATTTAAATAGATAATTCAAAGTATATGAATGCAAGATAATATATGAGATTCATTATAATTGTCACTAAAATAAATGTTTGCAACTTTGTAAAATCGATGGTCTAAATACTTAGTCTAAACACGATAGTCTAAATAAATACTACTATTGGTTTGAATTTCTCTAAGTCTTCTTAATTTTCTTTGGGGTAGCATTGTCATTGTCTCAATCTTCACTATTTGTCATCTTTTTTATTTGTTAGTAGTGTGTCATTTGCAATTGGATTATTAGTGGTACATTGCATAGATGATAGTGTCATGTAATGAGATTATGGTGTAGAAAGCTGTGAATTTGTCTTGTTGTGTATATGACTAGAATCTTAGTTGTACTATGAACTCTTGTTCTTGTAAGCGCTTGTTGATATTTTGCAATTGTAGTTTTTACTCCTACATGTTTCATGTGGAAGTATTGAATAAAATATTAATATTTATTATATATTTGTAGAAGGTTCATGAATAGTACCTCTTGTTCTATTTTAATAGTACAACAATAACTCTGTAGGTAGTCTGAATATTGATGCCGCAACATGTCCAGTTTCATCAACAATTTCCACATCCATTTTGCACCTGTTCATTTTTAAGTTCATATTTTTGGAATTAGTATGAATGACTGTAGTAATTGATTTTGTGTGTTTGCGTGTGTGTGGTTTTTTTTTTTTTTTTTAATTTTTTTTTATTGAATCTGCTTTACTTTATAACTTATTCATTTTTCAGTCATTACAAATTTGTGTGAATGATTGCTGATTACAACCGTTAAACACAACTAAATTGATTTTGGAGTTAATGATTTTCTAACTGAATGAATGATATTAGCAGTTAAATCTATTTTATGTTATTTGCAAGTCATTTTTTTTTTTTACAGATAGTTCAGCACACTTGCAATCATGAACGACCACTTTAAAGTGATTGACAATGTGAAGCAATCAGGAAGAAGACACTTAGTATTTTTCAAAAAATGGTTTTGCTTTGAGTTGTGTTCAATTTTGGTTGTATTGTGCAAGAAGAAGAACAGTCTTCTAAAACTATTCATTTTTCAGTATTGGTTTTGTACAAGTATTTTTGTTTGAAAGTGTAAATTGAAATGTATTTTTAGTTTTAATATATGGTTCTTTTTCTAATTTGGGAGTTCAACACATGATATCAAACTTTACTTTCCAACATAATTATGAAAAAAATTAAAAATAGAGTGTAATCTTCCTCGTAATTTTTCCCTAACTGCGGTAAGAATTTTTTTAGAAGATGGATACATATTCGTTTATACTTGACTGCGGTAAACAATATTTGAAAATAAGAAGTTCTAGAGTTTCTTGAATATAGTTATAGCACTATTTAACATAGAGGTTCCTTGATAATCAGAGAACATGTTGATCATATGAAGGTACTATGAGTTTGGAATTGACTTTAAGAAGAAATTTGTTCATGGCCATAAACTTTAAACATTATTAGTTAGATACAGATCTAACAATTCTGAGAATTCAGTCTTCTAGATCTGTAAATAAGAACCACAGAACGGTTCTTTAGTTTAAATTGGTGTATTAAGCATATATATATATATATATATATATATATATATATATATATATATATATATATATATATATATATATATATATATATATATACTAGCATTTTGTACGCGCGAAAATTCATGCCCAATATTAAAACATTGATAAATACAAATAATTAAAACTTATAATTTGAATTATATATACACAAATAATATATGTATTTTGTACACAGATATATATAATTTATCATTCATAGAAATTTAATTAAAATATAATTAAGTATTAAATTAATATATAATGATTTTAATAAAATGATAATTAAAAAATAGGAAAAAGATATGATAAATATAGGTGTATGGTAATAATGATGTGTTATCAATGTTAGAATTAAAAATTAACGGTGTTATAACGGTGCAAGGGTAGTTTTGCCTAATAACGTTGGAATGTACAACATTTAAAATAAAATGTACACACTTATTTGCATACAAAAATAGAGACATAAATCAAGGATATAACTAAGGTTTATTATGTTTTTAGATATATATATATATATATATATATATATATATATATATATATATATATATACTTTTAAAGTTGTGTAAATAAAATCCAGACAATATTCGAAATGTACTTACCTAAGTCATTGGCTACAAAATTGACTTGTACACAAAGTTTAAACTTAACCACTTAACCTCTTCAAGTCTGCTCTGGCGAACTATTTTCTATGTTAATGTATTTAGTATATTTACATAAAACTTTTTAATATACTTCAACTATCAATATCTTTACAAAATATAAAGATAATTTTAGAAGGGCTGACTAATAGAGCAAACTTCAACTGTAGGAGCATGGGGGTGAGTTCGTAATTTTAGAAGGGCTGAGGGTGTGTTTTGCTGTAAGAAATTAAAAATGGCCCATGCAGGTCTCGAACCTGCGACCTTCGCGTTATTAGCATGACGCTCTAACCAACTGAGCTAATAGGCCAATTGGTTTTGAGCTTTCTACAAATACAATTTATTCTAGATTAATAAGCTAAAATGCTAAATCAATTGAATCATAAATATGAATCCATGACCGCTTTGATACATTAACAACGAATCCAATTATACAAAGTTTCCATTTTACTATTAAAATCATTTTACCATTATTGTTAATTGATAGTTGCCCTCATGGATAGCACAAATTAAGAGATAAATTTGTCGAAATCAAATTCTAAATTATAATTGAAATAGGTAATACAGCGAGAAAATTGATTAATCAAGGTGAAAATTTGATTGTTTTGTTAATGTCCTTTGCTTTTAATTTAATTTAGCGAAACAAACACTTAGAGCATAGGACAATAGAAATACTTCAATAATAATATTTTACAGCATCAATAGTAAAGACATAGTTTAAACAATAGTAAAGGTAAATTAACAATGTAACGAAAATTAAAAATAAAATGAAAATATTTCAATAATAATATTCTAAATCATCAATTAAAAATGAAACAAAAATTGGGTAAAAATATCATTGAATTTGATATTTTAGTTCACTAATTGATTAATTGACTAAAAATAAAAAACAAATAATTTGATAAAAATTAAATATGATATTACTAATAGACTAAAAATATAAAAGGAAATGAATATTAATAATTGACTGCAAATAAAAAATTATCCATAATTGACTAATATGAAAAAAAATAGTTAGATCATTGCATTTTAATTAAAAATGGAAGGGAAACTAAAATTGAACGCCAATTATTTCAATAATAATATTTTACATCATAAATAGTAAATGCATATTTTAAACAATAGTAAAGGTAAATTACAAATGGAACAGAAATATTTCAATAATAATATTATACATCATCAATTAAAAATGGAACAGAAATTAGATAAAAATATGACTGCATATGATATTCTAATTGACTAAAAATAAAAAAGAATAATTGGCTGAAAATGAATATGATATTATTAATTTATTTAAAATATAAAAGGATCACTAATTGACTAATATTATAGCATTATATATTTTCACTGAGTCACCCATCCTGGTCGATTGAAGATGTTAGCTCTAGACGATGATGGACAAGATTGTGTTGCTACTACCAATGCCGTCTACAGATAGCTTTCAATAATGTGTAAATAAAATCGTTGATATTATATTTTTTTAAATGACAAAAATTGCTATATATATAGACAAAAAAAATAAAAATATCCTCCATACAAATTAATTAAGATAGCAATTCATTCATATAACTGAGTTGCTAGAGAACGAAGACATTTGTCTAATTTATATATAAAAAAAAAAACTAAACAATGATAAATAAAATCTCCAAAGTTACAGCACTGCATGCATATATCTACACATTAGCTATTAATTTGAGCAATTATTTGTTTAAATTCAAACAATGATAATATAAAAATACATAAATGATCCAGCCCGTATATTTAATTGCACTATATAATATTTGATGTTCTAATTTAAATAATTATACATCGATCCAAATAGTCTTAATATATTACAACAAATTTATTCCGTACATCGCACGGGCGCAAATACTAGTATATATATATATATATATATACACCCATCTTACATTTGGGAACTTGGGCTTTATCTTATGGGTTATGTAAGTCTTGAGACTGTGTGGTTTCACCTCTCCCTAATATGCAATATAATCATCAAGACTTGAATTTTCTTCGTCAAGAAGAGTTGGACTTCATATTAAGCTAGCAAAGAAAAATCATAGTTTTTTTAGTGAAGGGGGGTATTGGGGGATAGTTATGCTGTGCATTCGTATGCCAAAACGACGTCATTTTATTAAAAAATGTGCATCTTCCCTTTAAAAAAAATTCAGGTTCGATTCCCAGCAACAACATTATATTGTTCATTCATTCTGGAATTTTAGTTCATAGATTATGGAATTATAGTTCATTGATTATGGAATTATAGTTCATCGATTATAGAATTGTAGTTCATCGATTCTGAAATTTTAGTTTATAGATTATGGAATTTTAGTTCATTCATTATAAAATTTTTAGTTCATAGATTAGATTATGGAATTATAGTTCATCGATTATGGAATTATAGTTCATCGATTATGGAATTTTAGTTCATATGTTGTTGCTGGGAATTGAACTTGATTTTTTTTTAAAGGGGAGACGCGCGTTTTATTAAAACGACGTCGTTTTTGCATCCGTATGGTGCATACGGATGCACAGCATAATTTGCCGGTATTGGGCCTAGGGACAGAGCTGAGGATAATTAGATACAAAGGATTATCAGGGAGCGTTATGCTGCGCAACCGTGTGCACCATGCAAGGTGCACACGAAATTAAATTCATAATTTTTATAATATTATAGATCCATAATTTCTATACTATAGATTCATAATTTCTAAACTGAATAGTTATCAAATTATGAACATATAGTTCAGTGATTTGTGAATACAAAGTTCAACAATTGAATATGAACATTGAAAATTATGAACATAGAGTTTTGTAATTGTGAATATAGAGTTTAATAATTATGAATTTATAGTATAAAAATTATGAATTTATAGTATAGAAATTATGGATCTATAGTATAGAAATTATGGATCCAATTCCGTGTACACCATGCATGGAGCACACGGTTGCACAGCATAATTTGCCAGCAGTTAAGCAGAGATTAATCGAGAAGCCAGGCAATGATTAACTACAATCATTATACTATAAACCATGGTTCACTTTGTAAGGTGAACCATTAACATAATATTTATTTTTACTATATTGAAATTTCATTTTCAATACATTCAATGCTCATTTTTTGAATTTTTAATTTTTTGTGTACTAACTAAAAATTTATTATTTGGTACACTATATAAAAATAAACTTTAAATACATTAAAAATGAACACTTATATATTATCCATATTGTAATGTTGATTATGGTCCACAATATAGTTTTCCAATTAACTAATTGCAAACAAGAATTGGCTAGGGTCAATCAGGGGCCCTAAGCCTTCTGGATTGAGACAAGAAAAAGTTGAATAAGATCGATATTGAGCCTTTAGATCACAGCAGTTTATCAACAAATCCATTGAGCACATATATATACGAGTAGTGAACCAAGGTTCGAAGTGAGTACATTTCTTGTGGGCATCGGCATTTGACCCTGTTTGTTGAGCCATATATATGAGTCACCTTGATTTACATCCTCTCAAATGTTCTGTCGAGGATTCGTGGGTCAAACTAACTCTTTTTTCTTTAATAATTTTGTTACTTATTTTTAAATTTGATTTTTTGTATTTAATAGTATTTTTAGTGTAGTTTCTAAATATATAAATTTTGTACACTAATACTAAACTTAATATTATGAAAAATTGAATTAAAAGTAATTTCAGTCAAGCCTCGTTAGTCGAACTAGTTAGACACATAAAATGAGACGGAGGGAGTAATAAATATCGTCAGGTGAAATTCTTCATTGCTAGCTTATACTTTATTATTATATATATTCTTCATTGCTTATACATTATTCTTGATACTAATTAAGAAGAAACACCTCATTAATTAATTACGTAGCACGAGGGGTAGCAATCAAGAAAATGTCATTCTTTACTCCTAAGGCTAATCCAGGCATTTCTGTCATCTTCAACTCTTCAGCTGTGATTCCAGCAGGCACAGTCCAATCAAAGTGGTTGAGCATATGTGCTAAAGGAAACTGAACATTTGCCATTCCAAATGAAATCCCGGGACATATTCTTCTCCCAGCACCGAATGGTAAGTATTGAAATTGACTTCCCTTTATATCAATGGAGCTATCCAGCTTGAATCTCTCGGGTATAAAGCTCTCCGGCTCGTCCCAGTACTCGGGATCTCTGCCCATTGCCCAGGCATTCACAAGTACTTTTGTTTTGGGTGCAATGGTGTATCCTCGTACCACTGTCTCTTCCCTGCACTCCCTTATAACTAAGGCCCCCGGAGGGTGAAGCCTCAGAGTTTCTTTTATCACTAAATCCAAGTACTGCAACTCTTCCACCACATTCTCTTCCAACATCTCTTTCCCTTGGAACGCTGCTCTTACTTCAGCTTGTGCTTTGGCTAACACCTCTGGTTTTTTCACCATTTCTACTAGCGCACATAGTGTCGTTGTTGTCGATGTATCTGTTCCTGCGCCAAACATATCCTGCATGCATGTATGCATCTTTTCTGTTAGATCAAACGCTTATCATTATGTCCTGATTAAGCTAGTGGAATTGTAACTTGTGACCAGACTCTTTGTTGGGCAAAGACGGGTAAAGTCCTAGCACCCAGTGGCTAGAGAATTGTTGGGCAAAGGCAGGTAAAAGCATTCACAATAGTGATTTTTGCTCAATTTTTGAAGAAAAAACTTAGAATTGGTTTTTATGTAATGGAAAAGAGGGATTTTAGCTAGATTTTTCTCCTGCAAATACGATTTTTGGGTGGGGTCCATTTTGGGTGGGGGAGGAAAACTTGGTAGAATGCTGCGCGTGTGCATCAATCTACGCGCCCAGAAGGGGTATGCATTATTTGGGCGTGTAATGACTTTAGTTTTTTTTTCCCTTCTTACTTGTTTTTCTGTCTTACATGGCTGACAAAAAACCCACAAAAAAATGTACAACTATTGAGGTTGCTATAAAAGGCTTAAAGGGTTAAGTCCAACACCCAGTGTCTCAAAAATGTGTGGCGGTATAAGAAAATAAAATTACGTCTTCTTCTAGCTATAGCTTTGGCGTAAGTGATAAGCACTTGATACTCACCAAAAACTATAACTAGTAACGAAAACACAATTTTATTTTCATATACACCACCATCACATTTTCGAGACGCAGAGTATTGGACTTCACCCTTCACAGACTTCTGTCCAACAATTCCTTAACCACTAATTGATGGATTTGACCATTTATGGACCTGTGCCCAACATTTCCTACAAACTTATCTTAATAATAACTCCAAAAAATAAAACATGATGACAAGTAAAATAGTTTGACGACATACGGTTATTATAGCTTTGATGTTGCCGTCTGTGATGGGCACGGGAAGGGTTCCGCTATCCTTTAGCCTTAAGAGGACATCAACCATATCCTCGGCACCTGACTCGCCGCTGCCCTTTTTCCCAGAATCCAAATTTCTTATATGCTCCTTTATAATGCTATCTATCACTGCATCTGCTTTGTGGTGACCATTAATCATCCTAGTCTTGTCGCCACTGAGCGAGTGAAGGATCTTCCATGAAGGAAACATATCCGCCATGCAAAACCCACCCGCCAACCTCGATAGTTCGTCTATTTCATGAACCAACTCTATTGTCCCGCTGAATACCTTACCTACAAGTGATGAATAAAAAACGCAATTAAGTCAAAACAAGTTTTCCGTATTAATAAGGTGTAAGAAATAAATGGTAATAATGTAATACAAACTCTAATCACTACAAAATTATGAAATTTCCGACCACCTGAAAAAGATCTTAAATTAAGTTGATACCAAAAAGTGGTCGGAAATAGCAACAAAAGTTTTTCCGGATATCAAAAGTGGTCGAAACAAGACTTTCGACTTGATTAAAGATCACTTTCAGGTGGTCGGAAATTCCATAATTTCCAGTAGTGAATCTTTTATGGGGTGTTTGGAATTGTAATTCTTTTCTCACTTAACTTCAATAAATTGAAAATTCCAGAGGTTAGTTGGGAGGAATAATTGCAATTGTATAAAATTACAATTGAGTTAATTCCACCAGTTTAGAGTATTTTGTTTTTAGTGACAATTCAAAATTTAGTCTCAGACGGTCGTTTTCGTCATTTAATAACTCAAACTATTATTTTTTGGACATCTTTAGTCATTCTTATTACTTTTTCTTTTTTAGTAAGGGCATTTTTGTCTCTTCATATTTTTTTTTTTTCGGTTTCAACCGATTTAATGATTTAGAACTTTACTAAAAACCAGTTGAAAATATGGTTACTAAAAATCAAAGGTTACCTAAAGTTCTAAACCAATTAACCGGTTTAAACCCGAAAAATAACCAAAGAAAAATATGAAAAGACAACAATTCCCTCACTAAAAATAGAAAAAGTCATGAGAGGGACTAAAAATGTCCATAAATAATAGGCTAGAATGTTAAATGACAAAAACGATAGTATGTGACTAGATTTAAAATTATCACAAAAAATAAGGAACCTATGATAGAATTAACTCAATTACAATTCTTCAAATTTGAGGAATTGCAAAGCCCACCCCTCTCTCGGAATTGTAATAATTTCCTCCTAATTGCAACCACAAGGCCTGATAGGCGACAAGTTTGACTCTTAAAAAAATGTCATCATCAAGAAAACTACTTCTTATCAAGTTTCAACTCATAGGAACCACAAGACATAAAAGAAAAATCATATCATTGATAAGGGTTTAATAATAATTGATATATTTCTATAAGTTTAACTTATTCAATGTTTTGCTGCCAAACACCGTGTGCTCAGATGGTATGTAGTAATCTTTTCTATGTAGGAGGTCATAAGCTCTGTGTGGTATGTTTCATTAGGAAGAGTGAGTAGCATTCGAAATAAAAAAAAAAACTTATTCAATGTTTTAATACTTATCCTTTAAAAAATAGAGTTTTTCTAAATATGAATATAAATTTAATTAGAGACATACATATATATATATATATATATATATATATATATATATATATATATATATATATATATATATATATATATATATAAGATGAGAGTTAAATAAATTAAATCTCTTTTTAAAATTCTGCATCCTCTCATAAGTAATAGTTCGCTCAACCACAATAATGTTACGAATAAACACTTTATAGGTTATATATATACAATCCTAATGTATTTCTGAGTAAAATTTTATGCAGTGGAATGCTCTACCATTTGAATTGACATTTAATTCATCCCAACATTAAATTAAAGTGAGTATTGCAACTAATTAATCAACACATAAACAGTATTAAAATAAAAAAGCTACAAGAAAAATGGGCACTTACCAAATGCCGCTCTAGACACTACCGAGCTCGTAAACTGGGCGAACTGGTCGTGTACGTTGATAGGGGTGCCGGATGCCGACCGGACACGCTCCAACAAACGACAGGTCTCATCGTACCTGATGGAGCTGAAGGTGCGTACGATTTTGGCACTGAGGAGCTCCGACATGCACACCTTGCGCATTTGCCGCCAGTAATCACCGTACGGACAAAGAAACAGGTCCGCTTTGTCGTAAAAGATTATGCTGGCGGCTAGAAACGCGGGCCTGTTGGCGAAGGTCAAATCGTGAGTTTTTAGGAACTCTTTAGCCATGTCCGGCGACGTGACGACCAGAGTCGACACTTGTCCCAGCTGAAGGTGCATGATGTCCTTGCCGTGTTTTTCGGCCAAGTCTCTCAGGGCAACGTGCGGCTTTTCGCCGACTAATTGGTGCATGTTTCCGATGAGTGGCAGCTTCCGCGGCCCCGGCGGCAACTTCCGGCCGGTTTTCGTCTTCGTAGCCGCCGTCCATTCTCTTATCACTAGAGTAACAAAGGAAAGAAAGCAGAAGAAAGAAATGAGGTCTAATAATGCAAGTTGGATATCCATTATAGAATGGGCAAGCTAGCAACAATGAGAAATATGTATTTAGTTACTTTGAGATTTTAAGGTTAGATGGGTTTTTATAGTGAGTCGAGCTAGCTAGTATTTAGTACGATTAATGCATTATTGTAAGTTTTTTTTTTTAGTACGGATAGAGAAAGACTTGGACTACAGTGTGTTTTACACCTAACAAAATGTATTATTGTACTATTGAGAAAGAAAAGTCCTCTTTGAAGCACAACTACTTTGACTGCATTGTACTAGCAAGTTGTGGCATGTTTGGTTCAAACTTCACAGGAGATTTTGATTCATTTCACTAACGTTGAGCTCTCCTAATCGGCTAATCCTTTCACCATATATATATTTGAAGTAATTGTTTACTCTAAATAGCCTATGGCACAACTAATTTACCATGTCCATTCCAAATTAGTTAAACTGTTAATTAGATAATCACAAAATTTTAAATTTTTCTATGGAAACTTACTTAACGATTTTTAATTTCGTTGATAAATTTGAGTCTCTTTCTAGAGTCACTCTCGCATGAAAAAAATAAAACAAAACTTTATCATCACGCATGATGGAGAAAAATTGTAATTAATTCTTCACTTGATAAATTTAATTTTATTTAATCATTCAATTAATCCGCTTGCCAAACGCACCCTTAGTGCCTTGTGCTATATTTCAACTATGTCAGGTGGAAGATATCAAATGGCACTGATGGGAATGGCGTCTTATGTCAAATCGGGTATTTAGAAAATATAAATATATAATAGAGGGTAAAGTAAGAAAAAAAAAATATTAAAATTAAAATAATATGAACCATTCATTTCAACAAACAATTGGACCTAACTTTTTCAAATTCCCGTTATGAGTTATTTGCACTTTTAGTTCCACGACTATGGTGTTACTAACAACTTTGATCCACGACTTTCAAAATTTGCAAAATTGGTCCATGACTATTACTTTCTTAGCGAATTTGGTCATTCCGGTGCATTTTCTGTTCAATTTTAGCCGAAATTTCCCCCCTTTTTAGCGTGGGTATGTAATATTAGTGTGCGTGAAATGAATGGCCCTAGAGCTTGACTTAATCGCTTGCATGCGTTTCTGATGTCATCAGGGTTTAAAGCTTCAAAAACATATTTATCTTTATTTTACTACTCGCAAGATTCAGACTTCATTTATGTTCTAGTATATGTTGATGATATTCTTGTAATGGGCAATGATCAGAATTTTGTTAGTACTTTACTAGCAGAATTGTCCTCTGAATTCAAGATTAGGGATCTTGGCGAACCTAGTTTCTTTCTTGGGATTGAAACTATTAAGTGTGATGATGGAATTTTGCTTTCTCAACAAAGATACATGAGAGACGATATTTTAAAACGTGGTGGCATGATAGATTGTAAATCTTTAGCCACTCCTATATCTGTTTCGAAATCCACTGTCTTTAATGCAGACTTATATGATGATGCTACGCAGCATAGGAGTTTGGCTGGAGCTTTCCAGTATTTTACGGTTACTAGTCCAGATCTGTCATTTGCGGTCAACCAACTCTGTCAACACATGCATGCTCCTACGGTCTCTCATTGGGAGCAATTGAAACATGTATTGAGGTTTGTAAAGAGAACTGTTACTTATGGTCTGCGAATAAGGAAGTCAGTGTCTAGAGATTTACATACTTTTTTCTAATTCTGATTGAGCTGGTTGTCCTGAGGATCGTAAGTCAACTAGTGGTTATGCTATTTTTCTTGGTACCAATCTTATATCATGGGTATGTAAGAAACACAGAACTGTTGCTAGATCATCTACTGATGCTGAATATAAAGCTCTAGCAGATATCTGTGCTGAAGTAATTTGGATTCTCTCTCTGCGGCGTGAAGTTGGCGTGACCGGTGTGTCTACTCCCAAGTTGTGGTGTGATAATCTTGGTGCTACATATATGTGTGCAAATCCTATTTTTCATGCTCGGACTAAGCATGTAGAAATTGATTATCACTTTGTTAGACACAGAGTTGCAAATGGAGATATACAAGTTAATTTTATTTCGACTAAGGATCAACTGACAGATATCTTTACTAAAGCTCTACCTGGCCCTAGATTTTCTTTTCTAGAGACAAGCTACAAGTCACTACGGTACCTTGTGCTTGAGCGGGAGTATTATGACTCTATGTATTTGAGTTAGATTGTGATTCCTTATCCTAGTCTCATGAGACTCTATCTTTATATATTTCTGTAATCCGCACATTTATAATATATTATTCAATACAATTATTACAGTTCTCATCCCAAACACCCAATCTTCCTTTTTTTTTTTTTTTTTTTTTTTTTTAGCTCATGTTGCTAAATTGAGTAGTGGGTCGAGCAATTTCTTTCCTTCCCAGTCAAAATAGTTGTTCTGTAAAATGGTAGCTGCCAAGTGATAGGTTGTTCTTTAGTCGTAGCCACAAAATAGTTTTGATTACAATTAGTCAAAGTTATACACGTAAGATAAATACTCTTTTGTGGGAAACAAAAATCTTGTAAATCATAAAAGACAATGAAACCAAACTCATTGTGAGAACAATTGGTTTATTGAATTTTCCAAGTAAGAATTATGGATCTACCCATGAGACTAAAGTTCCGAAGAAATTCAAATTTACAATACACATTAATTCTACCACTTGAATAAGAAAAATTGATAGCATGCAGTTACTTTTTGGGTAAAACCTATATCAATGTGTTGGGCAAAGATGATACTCATTTCATCAAAATTTAGCTACAAAACCTTTTCTTTGCAAGTTTAAAGTTTTCACTTGAAGGAAATTTATTTCCTTAACACATTTTAAAAATTGTTTAAAGTCTATTCAACTCCTACCTTTCTAGACTTTAACTTGCTTGAGATCGACAAGTGCTATCAGAAGACTAGGTTATTCAAAGAGATAAACTATTTTGGTTACACCGAGCAAATTTCGTTATAAACTTTACAAGAAATTCATTTTGTAGCTTTGAAATTACAAATGCATAAGAGTATACTGTTAAAAGGTGAACCCAAAGTGTAATTAATGACAACGTTATTCTCACTTTATGCTATTATTGGGTGTACTTTATATTGTTGCTAGGTGCATTCTTAACGCATACTATAATTACTAAACTCTAAAGTTAACTTCTAAATCAAGTTTAAAAAAAAAAAAAAAGTTAAACCGTAAACCAAACACACACAAAAAAACCCATAAATTGTGAAATGTAGACAATTCTCAAAGTTCAAGTTATTTATGAAAATGCCACGACGCACACGACCTTACGCGAGAGAAGAGCCTCTATGCTATACAATTCAATTCAAACTCCTAAAAGGGGTCTTGTATATATAGTGGTGTTACCTATAATTCGTTTTGAGCGTACAATATATTGATTTCTTGGTCTTACTACGAAAAACTCGAATTCACTTTGACCCCTACCTAAATCAGGAGTGGACCCCACATATATTTGTAACCCAAAATAACCACTTAAACATCATTTTATACTAAAAATTCCAACCGTAATTGCATGTTGTTTCTTCCGTTGATCTCATCTTCTCCACTATTGTACTATATATTTGTGGAATGAATTCCTTTTTTTGGTCCTATTGTTATAGGGGCTTTTCCAATTTTAGTCCACCATAATTATTTTTGCCACATTGCGTCCACTATTATTAAAAGTGTTCCAATTTTAGTCCACTTTAAGATTTTTCGTGGACTAAAATTGGAACATTTTTAATAATAGTGGACGCAATGTGGCAAAAATAATTATGGTGAACTAAAATTGAAATGACCCCTATAATAGTAGGACCAAAAATAGAATTCACTCATATTTGTGCATCAGAACTCAATAATAATCATCTATTCATTCATACTTTACATAAACTGATGTTGAACTTAAGCAAATTAAATTATAAATTCGCAGTTTATGTTCTCACAAAGAAAACTTGTGTTCAAACAAAGATGTCGCATGTTGAAAGTTGCCAATTAAGAATGGAGTAATACAATATAATACTCTCAAACAAGAATTCAATCTTATTATATATCTAATGGAAAATAGGACGAGGTACAGTAATATTCAAGCTGTTTGTAAAACAAGAATAAAGATTATCCCATCATGCTACCTAGGTGGGATTTTATTTGGTAGACTACATATATTAGGTGTAGTATATATATATATATATATAATTAAGAAAATTATATTATTTCCATTGCTGGAAATTATGAAATTTTCGACCACTGAAAGTGATCTTAAATCAAGTCGAAAGCAAAAAGTGGTCGGAAATAGCAACAAAAGTTTTTCCGAATACCAAAAATAGTCGGAACAAGACTTTCGACTTGATTTAAGATCACTTTCAAGTGGTCGGAAATTCTATAATTTCCAGCAGTGTTCTAAGGGAGACGACAATACCATATATACGTACGTACCGCAATTACGGCTTTGATGGTGTCATGAGTGATGGGCAGTTGAAGGCCACTGCTATCCATTTGTGTTACGAGGACATCAATTAAACTATCACCACTCCTTCCCTTATTGCCACTTTCCAACTTCTCTTTTATGATGTTTTCAATAATTGCGTCTACTTTACGGTGAGTTTTCATGATCCTGTTCTTGTTGCTGCACAGGCCGTGAAGAACCTTCCAAGACGGAAACACACCGGCCAAATCCAATTTACCCAACAACTCCGATATTTCTTTTACTTGCTCTAAGAACTCTTCTCTCCCGTTGAATACCTCACCTGCAGTTATCAAATATTTTATTTTTGAGATTAACGAGAACAATAAACAATAATAATGGCTGAAAGGTAAAGAATGACAAATATTAATGTGGTTCGGTAACGTGTCTACATCCACAGTAAGTCTATTATTTTATTCCGTGATAGTAGTGACTAAACACCCACTATACAACTAATGTAAACTTCCTTAGACACTCCTATTCCTTATATAAAACAAACTCTACTCAACATTTATCATCACTTTTAAATTAGCTAGCTAGCTTCAAAATTCAAATGCAGATTTTGATCTTACCGAATGCAGATTTACATATAATGGAGGACATAAGTAAGAAGATTCTCTCTGTGATATTCACCATCTGGCCGGATGATGAATGGAGATAGGCCAATAGACAATGGATCTCATCGCGCCTGATTGAACTGAAAGACCTGACAATTTTAGCGTTAAGGAGCTCCATGGCGAATATTTTTCTCAATTGTCTCCAATAATCACCGTACGGACTAAACGAAACGCCCAAACCATTGTAAAAGAGTGTTTTACTCGCCAGAGACTGCGTCTTGGTCGTGAAAGTGAGGTCGTGGGTTCTTAGCAACTCTTTAGCCACCGCCGGCGACGAGACCACCACCGCTAAAATTTCTCCGATTTGAAGCTTCATCATTCCCTGGGAGCCGTATTTTTTTACCAACTCTCCCAGGACACGGTGGGTGGGTTGTTGTGAATCTGACATCAATTCGTGCAGGTTTCCGATGATCGGCAGCTCCGGCGGCCCCGGCGGCAGATTCCGGCGGGTTTTTGCCTTCTTCCTCCACTGTGTGTGGAGTAAAATGAAAAAAGAAAGAAAGAAGACGAAAGAAATGAAGTTGAATGCCACCTCCATCACTGAAATTAGAGCAAGCTAAGCAAGATTGATACGGAGTATATTTTATGCTGAGGATTTATAACTCCTTGTATACAATATACTAGGAGAATTTGAACAAGGCACTGCACGTAAAGTCATTCATAGACAGCTTTTTATGATAATATCAGAAATGATTGTAAAATTTTCCCACCCAAACTCAGAGATAATTTAGTAATATCAACATGTACAAAAGTTTCATTTAGAGCACCATTATCGTAGATATTTGGTGGTTTTTGGAACAGTAGAGGTTGACATGGCGGAGAGAGAAATGGAGAGGGAGAAGATTTTATTTGCTCTGCAAGTACTGCTTTTTGAAACACTGCTTTGATCAGAGAAAGAAGTGAGATAGTGCGCGGTTTCGCCCACAACATAGCCAAAGCCGGGAGCGTGTGCACGCGCCTACTTTTTATTTATTTTTTTAAATGTCAAATCATTTTGTTTTTTGTTTCTCTTTTTTTGCTCTTTCTACTCTCTCTTTCCTGATTACAGTTACAAAAACTCTTCAACAACCACAAAAGAACTTCACTATTATGGATAATCTTAGGATTAGTATTTAAAGATTTTAAATAAATGGGTGCAAGTGTGGAGACAACTGCACATGCAACCGTTGCAATCGTAAGTGAAGTGAAACTCATTGGCAAAAAAGCAGAGATGAGTCTAGGTTTAATTTTTAGGTAGAAAAATAATCTTAAAATTACATTTCTAACACTTTGCGGTGTACGCAGTTCATGCAGTGAAAGATTAAAGATTAATTATGTGGTTTGGTCGGTCTCCGTAATCTACTTCATAATAAGACAAGTGGATCATAGTATGTATATAGTGATATCGTGTCTGCATTGTAACACCTAACGGGGGAAACTTCTTTGTTAATATACTAAAAGTACATTATTTATGTACATAAAGTACATTATTCTTTATATAATAAAGCTATATGGTTTGGAAAATAATTAATGTTACAATTAATGCCACAACATCCTTTATTATTAAAAAAAAAAAAGCACAACATTTAAAAAGTAAAATAGCTATATATTATATAATCATATAAAAAATATACTTTTGAAAAATAAAATAGCTATATATTATATAATCATATAAAAAATTTATTCAATCAGAGTTTAAATTTACACATACAAAATTTGAAATTTGCTTTCCAAATGTAATTATCTTAGTTATTATTCGTATTGTGAAAATTATAATATAGATGAAATACAATTAAGAATAAATCAATGTAATTATGTAAATTCTCTCTATAAGTTTATTTGAATACGCACATAATTAGAGATTATATTAACCATACAAAATTATAATTTTAATATTAATTTTAATTTTAAATGTAATTTTGTATTCTATAAAAATAATAAATACTTGACCAATGGAAGCTCAAAAATATTATTATATTAAATAATTTAAAATATTTTAGTTTTTCTATTTTTTATTTATATTTATAATAACATAATTTTTTACCGTACATCGCGCGGGTGAATTACTAGTTTAAATACTGAAACTACATTATTTTTTATAATATCAAATAAAGTACCTTCAGTACACAAATAATGTACCTTCAGTACACGAAAGAAATGAAGTTGAATGCCACCTCCATCACTGAAATTAGAGCAAGCAAGCTAGCAAGATAGATATATTTTATGCTCGCTGAGGATTTATAAAAGGCCAAGGCTGCTCTTATATAAAGTATACTAGGAGAATTTGAACAAGGCACTGCACGTAAAGTCATTCATAGACAGCTCTTATATACAGGAGGATTTGAGCAACTCGAAGTCATTCATAGACAGCCCTTATATACAGGAGGATTTGAGAAACTCAAAGTCATTCGTAGACAGCTTTTTATGATAATAACAGAAAGAAATGATTGTGAAATTTTCTCACCCAAATTCAGAGATAATTTAGTAATATCAATATCATTGCACAAAAGTTTCATTTAGGATTAGTATTTAAAGACTTTAAATAACTAATTACACTTTCTTTTTGAAAAATCATATAAATTTATAATTCTTACCTTTTTCACCCATAAATACAATGGATTGGTGACTAAAGAAATCATAATTCTTCATTTTGCACAGCCTCCATGTTGTTCTCATTCATAATGAAATCATAGAGCTGGTGACTCTAAAATTCCTTTCTTCCACCGCCCAGTAAAAAATTATAATTTTAATTTGTGAAGTAAAACAAATGTGTTAATGATCGTCGTCACTCTTACAAGTGCAAGATATACCCAGACATGAACTATTTTGTGGTCATCGTAATACATACTAAAATTTAGTATGCAACAGAATAAACCTTTTGAGGAGGCTTGTGGCTTCTAACTGTATTCGAGTCACGACAAACTTTAAATTCACACTTCGAGCAGGTTTGTGGCTCCTAACTGTATTCGAGTCACGATAAACTCCAAATTCACACTTCGACCGTGTGAGGGCTCCAAGAAGAATAGACTAGAATAGTAGAATAACAATATATTTCTCAGTGGTTTCCCGTATTTATATACAATACCTATTTATACTAAATTACTATCATCAATAATAATTAAGTTACTAAAATTATTTTAACTATACAAGGTAATAATATATTCTAATATACATAATTTCATTATACTAATATTTACTCAATTATCTTCTAATTACATATGATTCATTCCTTTTAGACCATCAACTAATTAAACCACTAATTATTTCATTCCTTTGATGCGTATCACTCTCCACCCTTTCAAAAAACACCTTGTCTTCAAGGTGCAGCGAGGAATAGAATAAACACATATTTGTTGAATCGGTCCATGCAATTTTGGATGACGACTAGTTGGCAAAACAAATGATTGAAATGGTTCTCGAGCTTGATAGTGACACATAAATAGCTTCCCCTTTTGGCTTGCACCGTCTAAAAATATCTTTTGCTCCCCACTGTTGATTTCCAAGTCTAAGGTAATACTCACAAGTCTTGTCCCAAGATAATCCTCAAGAGACTCTATGTTGTTGAAATCTTGAATGTTGCTTTCATCATGAGTGGTTGGGAGAAGAACTGTTGCTATTGACGATTCCTTGGATTCTGGGCTACTTTGTTCTTCTTGAAAAGTTGGATTAGAATAACTAGGAGTGTGACATTTCGAAGTGTCATCTTGATCCGTCTGTAAGTCTCCACACACAACCAACAGCTTTAAATTAGGATATTTAATGTTTAAAACACAACACCAATCATAAATATTTTGTCCGTGAAGAGCTTGTTTGGCCATGAATGCATCCAAGATAAAAATCAAACCATACCAAAGCTTAGAAGATGTGACCCTCATCCTTTAAAATATGAATATATTGTATGGGTCCTTTTGTAGAAATGATCTCATACAATACAAAATTATCAACTGGATACTATACTTGATGTACAGAAACCAATAAGCACCAATGAGTAATATTTTTCATAATAATAATAATCATAATTTTTTTTTTTGCAGTATTTTTCCACTCCTTTTCTCTTGTATTTTCTTGGATTTTTTAATTTTTTTTTTTAAATTTTTTACGTTTTTTCTCCCCTTTTTCACTATTTTTTCACCTTTTATTATTATTATTTTTTATTTATGAGGAATGCCGCTAACAAACAAAATAACAATAATAATAAAAATAAAAAAGATATGGAAAGCTCTCACCCATAAAATCAATGAAAGCACCAATTGAGGGTTGGGGTTTAACCTTTTGGAAGAATGAAAGCACTAATTGTTACGTGAGGCATTCATAAATCTTCTCAAGGGAAACACCAATGCGGCAGTGTGGGAGCAACAACAACCTCTCAAAGTGAGGGGGGTTCCTTGTGCGCAGTGAGCACCGATCTAGCCTCTGTGGTAACACCAATGTTACATACAGAAATTTAGTACGTTCCATGATTTACATCCTACATCCTCCCAAATGCTCTGTCGGGTCGGAGTGTGGGGCCCTTAGGGTTGGGGTTCAGCCTTTTGGAAGAATGAAAGCACCAATTGTTACGTGAGGCATTCATAAATCCTCTAAATGGAAACACCAATGTTACATACAGAAATTTAGTACGCAACGGAAGAAACCTTTCGAGCAGCTTCTGGCTCCTAACCGTATTCGAGTCACTGCAAACTCCAATTTCACACTTCGAGCATGTGGGAGCTTAAAGTGTAACGTTTATCCGCTACTATTATTATAACATTAGGATAAGTTATGATAATATTCAGTATTTGATATGTGGTGCAACACTAATAACCTAATAGCTAGACTACCATTATGATTAGGAGTCTGGTTAGGGTTTAGGAGACCTAAAGACAATCAACCACAATGATGGCCAATGGTTATATAAGGTCACTAGTCCTCTCACTGCTCACACTACATACCTCATACATCATCTAGAGAGAGCTGAGTAAAGTGAGAGACAAAATACTCATTATCTTTGCAGCAGTCCAGATCGCTCAACCGTAACAAGAACTATGGTTGGAGGTTAGTCGATCCTGTTATCACATATTATATGATGCATGTGATATTTTAGTCTAACAGTTGGTATCAGTCGCCATAAATAATCTCTGCCTAGTTTTTTTTTTAATTGCTTAAATATTTGCATATTTTATATACTTTGTTATATAATTGAGATTATGTGAATATTCTTGAGTTCGCAATTAAATTATCTGGGTTGCTGGAAATTTTGTGTTTTCTTTTTCCGCATTAAGCATTAAAAACAAAAAAAAAAACAAAAATTTTAAATTGGATAATTCAGTTTTGGCTTGGCTGCTGCTTCGTCGCTGCGCTACTGCCTTTTCATGAAGAAGATGATGAATGAAGCTAGATTAAGCTAAATGGGCCAGACTTGGGCTCATCATAATAAAAAAAAAATTCTTTTTTTATTAAATCGGGGCCTGTTATGGTTTTGAGCCAAACCTGAATTGATATTTGGACTACATCAATTCATTCAGATTAACATCTTCATCATATTTGGACTTCTTCTAATTAAATTATCCAATTGAATTT